TATGTAATGAAAAATGTGTTAATTTCTGTAGCTATGAGAAATATTTAATATAATTATTCAGGTGTATAAGTGATAACCAAAATTTTGAATATCAATTTTATCAGCGATGAAGTTATAACAATGATTAAGAGTACATCACGTTGTTTCCGCAATAACCCGAATGATAGGGATAAAATATGTGACCCTACAGAGGATAGCAAAATAAAGTACTTACCCCAGACGTTGTGATAGTTGAAGAAGAAAATACAAGTTATTCATACAATTACTCTATTTATCTTTCCTATCAAAAATTTTATTGCTGAGCTCACACAAATAAACAAGAAAATTAAATATCAGATCATAACTATAGTCCTACTATAAATACAGAGCGTCCATTCGTTTATCGATATACTACAGAGCACTATCCATTTGCATCACTTTCTATAAATCACGAAATATCTGGAATCGAAGAAATATGTAGACCAGGAATATACTTATCTTGAAATTTCTTTTGATTTTGAAGCTTCTACCAGTGAATTAATTTGGAGCAGTCACCACGTGGCGATAGACAATGGATGAGTCTTAAATTGCACAATGAGATCGCTTATGATTCTTGGTTTAAAACATCTTTCCACCCAGGATGAATTTTCAGCAACTGCATATAGAATGAAGATATTCAATAAAAAAAACTACAGTTATCGGACTTTTCAGGAAAGTTAAACGTGCATCATGACACGGCTGTAGGTGAAGAGACATCCGAAGCCCGTCCTTCACCCTTGAACTACCAGCAGCGAAGAGGAAAAAACCGGTCCAACAACTGCCACCAAGGGCTTGGACGAAACGATGACGATTCTTGAAGCGATAGTCTGATGATAGATGCCGGCTTGCTAGCACATTCCCTCCGGCCAAAGAAAAAGCACAGATCACCGCATGAACACTGCATGATAAATGCACTTCACTGACGCTGAGCACTGCATTATAAATTTCACCGAAACACAGTTCATTGCACGATAAATTTACTGACGCACAAACCTCATTACAAGTATGATCTGGTATAATAGTTAAATCAAATGAAAAATAGTCAAAAATTATTTTATCATAATTTCACTGTCTGGGATAAGTGCTACACATATGAAGTACAATCAAAAATTAATAACTACATATATCATACAAGTTACTCATATAGTTACAGCATACACTTTCATTATAATCTGTAGTCAAGTTACAATTTTCTCTTTGTAAATGGAAATTGTAAGCTAATACCTATTTTTACATTCATACATTTTCACTGTTAAACACAACTCTGCATTAATGATCATTTTTTTTGACAAGTTTCTAATTATACAGATTCTATAAATTCTTCTGGATGACATCAATTTGCCCTTGAAATTACTAAATTCATCTAGACCAATTACTCTACAATTTCATTTTTTTTGAACACATTAATTTTCTTCTTCCTCTTTTTATTATTGTTATATATGTATATATATTTTACTACTCAAGCTTGTTTTAGTAGCACAATTTTCATGTCTAGCTCGTTACTTGTAATGATCACTAAGTGTACTGCACACTTTTTTTTTTTTTTTTTTTGTAAATTCCATGACATTAGTCAACCCGGACCAGCCTGCAGCCAACCAAACGTATGAGTGAAGGTGGCCAACCGACACCCAAACTAATCATGAAATCTCAAAAAAAAATTCTTTTGTTGGAAATAAATCCACTAAATTCCTAACACTTACAAATGTGTGTATGTTTTCTATTTATTTATTTTTTCTAACTTAGTGAACAAGAAAAACAAGCTCGATGAAATAAATGTTCTTAATTAATCAAATTGAACCTTGGATCAACTCTTTTAAATAATTTGCTACAATGAATTTTTTTTTTGTTTTGTGGTCTTCGATGTTTTGAATTAAGTAGTTTTTATTTCGAAAAATTTTTTATTTTGAAAGGTCCATTGAATTTTGGCTGAAAAGCATGAGGTGGTTGTAAAGCCTTTAAAAATACCTCATCTCCAATATTAAATTTTGGTGGTTCTCTGCCCTTTAACAACTTTATTTTGAGACTGAAAATATTTTTCTTCGTTTTGTTTCACTAATTCTCTAGTTGCTTTAATGTGTTCTCTCTGACGTAAAGTAGTTGTGAAGGATTATCTACCGTTGCCGGTTCATTATTTGTATCTAGAGGTGTATTGAGTTCTCGCCCAAAAAATAACTGTGCGGGAGTAAAACCTGTCACTATGTGTTTAGAATTGTTGTAATATAGTTTGAAAAAAGCTAATCTATCTGACCATTCGATTACCTTATTGGATAAAGAAGCTATGCTTTCTTTCATAGTTCGATGAACTCTTTCTATGATTCCATTAGACTGTGGATAATAAATGGAGCTTTTTCGGTGTTCAATATTGAGATCTTTTAGAAATTTTTCAAATTCAGCTGAACAAAAATTTGAAGCATTATCAGATAAAATTACTTTTGGAATACCAAATTTTGAAAAATAAAGATTCATACACCTTATTATGTGTAGCAGATGTAATATTTGCCAGAGGAATAGCTTCTAAATATCTTCGAATAATGATCAATAATAGTTAGAATGAAAAATTTGCCATCATGTGATCTGGGCAATTTACCCACAATGTCAATTGCTAACATTTCTCCAGGTGCTAAATCAGATTTTTTTATATTGCTTGTAATTGTTTTACATGACCTTGGTTTATTCTCCAAACACTGTTGACATTTTTCACAAAAGTTTTTTGTATCTAAAAACATGCCCTTCCAGAAATACTTTTTCTTAATGAATTCATAAGTTTTACTAGTACCAAAATGCGGAGCATGAGCAATCTCTAAACAAGGTTTTACTAAAGAATTTGGAAGTAGAATTTTATTTTCTAAATGCCTTGTCTTTAAATGATGCGCTCTAGGTCTTAATTTTATCATTACTACACCATTTTTTTTATCAATAAAATATTTTCCACAAATATCAGCTTTATTATTGTTAATTTGGCTTAAGATATCCTTAATATTTTTGTCATTTCTTTGGTGATTAACTATATTTTGGATGCTTAACTGAGTATTATCTGAATGAAATAAGTTGATATTGTTTACACTATGAGATGCTTCAGGAACTCTAGAAAGAAAATCTGCAGGATTGGAAAAACCAGGTATATGTTTTAGAGAGTAATCAAAATCTTGTAAATACAACAACCATCTGGCAACAATGTCAGGCTGCTTATCCAGCTGCATATGAAAAGTGAGTGGTCTAGCATCAGTTAAAATAGTAAATTTTTTGCCATATAAATGTTCATAAAAATGCTTGACAGAAGAAAAAATAGCATAAAGCTCACGCCTGATCGATGGGTATCTAGACTCAGCAGGAGTGAGAAGTTTCGAATAAAATTCTACAGGAAAGAATTTATCATCAATCTTTTGTAACAGAATACCACACATAGCTACTTTAGAAGCATCAGTGATCAAAAATATCTCATGATTATCATCAATGTTCCTTATAGTTGGTTTGTCCAACATTATTGATTGTAATTTATCAAAAGCATCTTGGCAATCTTGATTCCAAACAAAGGGAACATGTCTTTTAGTTAAGTGTACTATTGGCTGAGTGATCTCAGCAAAATTATGGATTAAATGTCTAAAATAGTTCATCATGCCAAGAAAAGCCTGAACTTGTTTTTACATCCTTTGGAATAGGAAATCTTGTAACCTTTGAAATATTTTCTTCAGAAGGAGAAAAACCTGCTTGTGAAATATTGAAACCCAAATAAAATAAGTTATTTCAGATTTACAGAGCTGCACTTTAGCTGGATCTAGAGTTAAATTAAATGATTTTAATCTGTCAAACACTTTTTGAAGAATTACTTTTAACTCACTCATACTATCAGCTGCAATAATAATGTCGTCTAGAAAAAATTGAACATTACTACCTTTAATGTCATTTAAACATTTTGAAATTAATGTATGGAAATAAGAAGTGCTATTGCGAGCTCTCAAAGGGAAGTCTACAAGGATGAAAATTACCCAGTTCGGTGCAAAATGCCAACTTTTCTTTATCAGAGTCCTGCAAATTGATCTGGAAAAAGGCTGACTTCAAATCCAGTACACAATACAATTTCCTACCAGCAATGTTATGCAAAATCTCAGAAATTTTTGGTAAACAAATTTTGTATGATTCTGTGATACAGTTTAATAGACGATAATCTACAACCATACGAAATTTTGGTGCATTTTTATCTTCACCAGGTAAATTCTTTTTCCTAACAAATATTACAGGAAAACTATAACTTGAAGAAGAGGGTTCTATTATGCCTGCTTCTAATAATTTTGCAATTTCTTGTTGAGCATACTGTTTTGCAATTTTAGGAATAGGGTAAGGTCTAGTTTGAATTGGGAAATTGTGAAGAAGTTTAAATTCTGGTACAACTTTATCAGTAGATCCTAAAGTATTATATGATTTTGAAAACACAGCATAGTTATTCATTAGCAATTCTATCATTTCATTTTTTTGTCTTGTTCATTTAAATGATCTAGTTTAAAGTCTGATACATTTAATTCCTCTTTTCTAAGTTTAATTACTTCTTGCAGATTTAGTGTGTTGATTTGTAAAGTCTCATGATTTTTGGGACTAACAATATCCTCAAAGTGAAATGGCACAGCAGTTCCAATAACAGAATTCTTCCTAAAATTAATTTCTCATTGGTGTTGTTTTCAACAATAGTTTGAATGTGGTTGTGACAATCAACTATATGTAAAGATTCATTGATATGGAACTTATTTTGTGATGGCTTTGGAGAAAGCAAAATTTCTTTAAATTGTTTTAAAGCTTCAGGAACAGCTAAAGAAATGATTTGAGATTGACCTGGCTGGACAGTTATATTAGAAACCATTCTTAATGAGTTTAAATTACAATTTTTTCTTCTTACATTAACTGAGTTGCTTAATTTTTTATTGGGATAATTTTCTTCAAAGTCCAAATGAGTATTATCTACTATGAGTTTCTTATTTATGGAATCTAACAAAATTTTGTTACTTTGAATGAAGTCATAACCTAGGATTATCTGATAAGTAGAATTCCAATTGTTTTGGGTGACATAAAATAAATTAGTGAACCATTTACTTTGAATTTTGAATTTTAAATTAACTGCAGACATGTAAGGGATGCATGAATCTTCAATAGTTTTTATTCTTACCATCCGAGAAACAAATTCAACTTTAGTGAATTGTTTAATTTCCTCAATAACATCTGGTTGGACTAAAGATAAATTTGCACCAGTATCAAGAAGAGCTTCATAAGTCTGAGAACCAATTTTAAGTTTGATTATTGGCAGATAATTAGAATTTTCTGAGTTACAAGACATCAACAATTTGGTTGAGTTTCTATTATTACATCTTTTATTTTTTGCAAACTTGTGTTGGACATTATTGCTGTTACTTTGGATCTTTTTTGGATTATGATGTCTATACAGGTGTTCTTTATAACCCCAGTCTCTGCGGATTCCTGCAAGGGGTCTAAAATTTTTGTTGTAATATATCTGGCAAGAATCCTTAGCTAGTTTAAATGCTTATTCTGACCTTTTTTGTATTGACTATTATTTCTGTAAGGATGATAGTTCCTCCGCCAAGTGTTTCGAAATTGTCTGTGTCCCCTGAATGTGTTGTTTCTAAAATTATGCTGGTCTTGCCTAGGAAAATACCAACAATCTGTTGTTAAGTGTCTTTTGCTACATATATGACAAGATACACTATTAAAGTTGCTAGAATTTTGAGATGTAGAAGCATTGTGATTTATTCTTGTATAAGATGTGTTTATAGGCTTATTTTGAGAAAGTTGATTTACTTTATCTGTTAGCTCCTGAATAATTTTATTCTGTTCAAGTCTTTCTTTGAGAAGATTATTAATCTCTAAATTTTGCTCAACATTTATACTGTTCAAATATGTTTTCTCATCATTCAATGCATTTTCTATATTACTTGCCAATTCTACAGCCTTATCAAAGGAAGATGGACCTAATTTCTTAACTTCAATCCTAATGTCTGTTCTGAGGGCCTCAAGAAATTTAGTGAGCTTCATTTTCTCTTTTAATTTATGTAAACTAGAATCCTCAACCGAATCTTCATTTATGTATTTTGTCGCTGTTGTAGTAATCTCGTCAGCTAATTCCCTAACAGATTGGTTACACTTTTGAGAAATGTTTGAGAATTGCTGTAGAATGTCCTGAAAGGATTCAACTCGTGCAAATTTATTCTTTAATAATTTTTCTAAATTTTCAAATTTATTTTCCTTAGCCACTCTTGGATCATTAATTAGGAAATCTAGAGCTTTATCCCTACAGTTTATTTTCAGAATGATTATTTTCTTTTCATCTGACCATTTTTCTAATTTAGCAACACTATTTATTTGATCAAGAAAGAAATTTACATTTTCAGATAAGTTGCCACTAAATGTGGGCAGAGCAGAAGCTAGGGAAGTTGCCATACCAGTGTTAGATCTACCTTTAAGCTTTGACATGGATGAAGAAATATAGTTACTTATGTTGCATTACCTTACAATCTGCTATTTCTATTTTAATGTTATTGAGATCTACATTATTTTACACAAACACTTAGCACTCTCTCTGATAATTTACATATACATTTACCAAACATGCATATAAGAGTAGATAGCAAAGTTAAGGTAATTTTTTTTTTTTAGTAATTAATTAGGATCTCCTGTAACTTTAACCATGCATATATCAAATTAGTGATGCAATATAAGTACATTGATCATTAACACTTCTGGATTCTAATACTGCTGAACATTATTTTATCATTACATACCACAATCCAATGAAATTACTGAAATCAGCTTTTGATTCAAATATCTTAAAACTTTCTTTAAATATGCACATATATATAACAATACATATGAAATTGAATTTTTGAATTATCCAAAATAGAATTACTCTTTCATGGCATATTACCCATCATTTATCATAAATTTTCAACAATATAAATCATATGTGTAGCAAATATACTATAGGTCACACATTTTATTTGAATTCTCAACCTGAACTAAATGATTTTAAGTTATTTCTTTTGTCACGGCACCATATGTAGTGAAAATAATTATTAAGAAGAGCTATATGTAGTGAAAATATTTGTATGTAGTAAAAATACTTATATATTTTAATTTCTTATGTAATGAAAAATGTGTTAATTTCTGTAAGCTATGAGAAATATTTAATATAATTATTCAGGTGTATAAGTGATAACCAAAATTTTGAATATCAATTTTATCAGCGATGAAGTTATAACAATGATTAAGAGTACATCACGTTGTTTCCGCAATAACCCGAATGATAGGGATAAAATATGTGACCCACAGAGGATAGCAAAATAAAGTACTTACCCCAGACGTTGTGATAGTTGAAGAAGAAAATACAAGTTATACAACTACAATTCACTCTTTTTATCTTTCCTATCAAAAAATTTTATTGCTGAGCTCACACAAATAAACAAGAAAATTAAATATCAGATCATAACTATAGTCCTACTATAAATACAGAGCGTCCATTCGTTTATCGATATACTACAGAGCACTATCCATTTGCATCACTTTCTATAGATCACGAAATATCTGGAATCGAAGAAATATGTAGACCCGGAATATACTTATCTTGAAATTTCTTTTGATTTTGAAGCTTCTACCAGTGAATTAATTTGGAGCAGCTCACCACGGGGCGATAGACAATGGACGAGTCTTAAATTGCACAATGAGATCGCTTACAATTCTTGGTTTAAAACATCTTTCCACCCAGGATGAATTTTCAGCAACTGCATATAGAATGAAGATATTCAAAAAAAAAAAAACTACAGTTATCGGACTTTTCAGGAAAGTTAAACGTGCATCATGACACGGCTGTAGGTGAAGAGACAGTCAGTGAAGAGACAGACCGAAGCCCGTCCTTCACCCTTGAACTCCCAGCAGCGAAGAGGAAAAAAACCGGTCCAAAAACTGTCACCAAGGGCTTGGACGAAACGATGACGATTAAACGAAGCGATAGTCTGATGATAGATGCCCGCTTGCTAGCACAATCACGACAGAGAGAAGTGGCATCTAGTGACAAAGCGAAGGAGTGTCGAAGTAGCAAGAGAGCTGAAGCGAAACTGTGCAATCATCCAATATAAAAGCTCACCAAGGAAAGGTGTTTTTTTTTATTATTATTATAAAGTGTTTTAGTTCTCAAAATTTTGAGTTCAAGTTCCGAAGCTACGTCATCAGGCAAGGCATGTGAGGTAGATTAATCTCGAAATGACGCTGTCCAGGAAAGTGATTACCATTTTTAGAGAGGAAATTCACAAATTTAAAATGAGGAATTAGGAGGCTATTAGTAAATTAAATTATAAATAATTTATAGAATAACCAGACGTTAAGTCTAAGGTTGTCATAACTTAGTAGATTGATTTTTTCTGATAATTTCATCAATTATTGGTAGATGATACGTGGGACACTTCGTTATACTATTAAATTTGCTATAATGAACTGCAAACCTTTACGCGTCCGGGTGATCGGGCGATAGCCCGTTTTTCTTTCTGCAAAGGACCACCGGACTGGCGTATGGACTAGTGCTTGGCACAATGATTTTATTTGCAAACATCTTTTCCATGTGATGTTCCAGAATCTGTTCTCTGACCCTGTCATACCTATAAGGGGTTAGCCCTCGAGGCTTTGCCATAATCAAACACACACACACCTATAAGGTACTGGACCGGACTGGAGGGGCATTACCCGTATCAATACAATGTGTCACCATTTGGCAGAAGCCAGCCTTCTCATCAAATAAAGAAATAAATTTTCTTACCAAGTTTTCATTTTGTCCTTCTCTTCAGGTTTCATGTGCTTCAAGCTGATTTGTGACATAGTCCCTTCCTCTTCTTACACGGGGTCCATGTGCACCTGAAACGTAGATTTCTGGAAATTAAGATTCGCGGCAGATGCACATAAGAAATCGAACCCCAATGTTACGGATGTTAGCAAATTTTTTACCACTGAAAAATTAACTTTTAACACCTTTTTAATTTGTGCATGCAGTGCGGTTTTCCCCAGCCTAACGAACAAGGAAAATTTGTATTAACCTTCCAGCGGGCGCGCCTTCTGCACCAACAAGAAAGGTCACGCGTATTTCTTAGATACGCTATTATAAAAAATAAATTTTCCAGAGCAAAAATATTAAAATTAGCTTGTAAATAGTCAAATGTTAATAAGTACAATTCAGTTAAACAATATTAACTTTAAATTAAGGAAAATAAAATAAGTATAAAGAAAAAAAACAATATAAAATGAGCTAAAGACTTATCAAACAAACTTGAAAGTAAAACAAAATTAAACTGCCAATATTCAATTGAACTTTTATATTTTTAATCAGTAAGTGAAAAAACCAATTAAATATTACAAAAAATCAATTTCATAGTGACTTCATTGCATCGGTGCAGTCTGAACAAATATGTTTACAGTGATCTAGACAAATGAATTTAAAAAATCTCACAGCTGAACCTCGTAATTCCAGTATGCTTGGCATTTTGGCAGGGGTCTGCATCTTTTTTTTCCTGAAGTCATTTCCTCAACAAGAGCTAATTCTGCTTTTCGTTTCAACAATTTAAATTTCAGCTCACTTTGAAGAGAGTTAGGGCTTCTTCTTTCAACATTTTCCTTCACAAGAGCATTTTCTAGCTGTCGCAGATATTACCTTCTAAGCGATTTTTCACTATTATTCGTTGAATGAACTATGTAGCTGTTGATTGCTGCTATATTCAGCATAGAGAAGAAAACTTCAAGAGGCCAGCGCCTGGTGTTCCTGGCAACATTGTAGGAAGCACAGAGTTTATCCACTGTATTCACACCTCCTTTGGTATTTGGTACGATTGTAAAATGTGATAATCTGAGGCCTTTTTTTGGTCTTGGGTATTTTTCATCTATTGCTACGTCATCATGAAGACTTGAAATCAATATGACGTTTCTACGTTTCTAACGTTTTGGGTACATAGGAGAGAAGTGTCATATTTTTTCTAAATCCAAAAAAGACTCGATTGGGTTCCCGAGTTTTCGCCAGCTTGAAACTGTCGGAATTTGAGGTTTATTGTTTTTCAAAGTACCTACAAATGACAATTTTTTTCATCTGTTTCTCGTACTAACTCAAAACTTGAAAACCAGTTGTCTGCGGCTACATTTCTTCCAGTGTTATCAATAGGTTCCGTCAATCTTTACTTTACAATCATCTTGTGGTTTGTTGCTTACGTAAAAAGGACAATTCTGGTTGCTCTCCAAGCATAAATTGTCCATATTGTATGTGTAAAACATACAAGTGTCTAGCATGTCTAAATTTTATGCCCTATTTGTTCGTTTTTTGGGGAATGTATTGAATGAAACCACATCTTTCTCGAAATTCTTCTAATTTCTCATCGGTTGTGACATTATCTCCAAGTGAATAGCACTTCTGGTCAATTAGAGACAAACTTTTCAAAAATGTTTCTTATTGGAGCCAAGCCTGTCGGTTTCTCTTTGTTCTGCTCTTGTCTTTATGTCATCAAGCCATAAAGCTCTTAGTAAAAACAAAATCTCTTTAAGTTCATTACTACTTTAAATTCCTCCATTCTCCACAGTTCCTCAAGATTCCAGAATTCTGCTGAACTCGCGGTTTCTTCTGAGGAGTAAACCTTGAATGTTGGCAAACTGGTTCGCACGCGCTTTATCCAAGTTCCTTCTGCTTTGGAACTTCACCGCGAGCTTAAATAGATCTAATACTTGCGGGTTACGAACTTCTAGGAAATCTTGAGCTGACGGTTGTAGACACAGTAGAATCATCTCGATAAGTTCACTATCGGGCGTCTTCCAGTATTGGATTTTTCGTAGAATGAACTTTGTCAAATCCTTGAAACCCCGTTGATATTTGCTAAAAAATTCTGACTCTAGCTTCACACGATCTTTCATAACTGGAAATGCTTTCAGCAACGCAAACTTGAAATTTTCCCAGCTGTAAGATTCCGAACCTGGGTCCCGTCACATGTTACGGCTGGCTTCATAGCAGCACGCATCGTTTCCACGATAAATCCGAATCCTACCATTGGATGCGTGGCTGTCTGAGGCACCTGAAAGGTCGGAGGTATCAACGTAAATTTCCCGCTCTCTAACGACATGGTCTGTTGAAACTTCTTCGGGCGCCAATATAAAAGATTATGTACTGTGTACTTACCGTGTACTTTACTTACGGTGTATTGTGTAAGTTACAGTTGAATGTGAAGAATTTTAAGAACTGATAAGCGAATAATAGCTTGAGTTCGTGTGACAGGAAACAAGATAGAAGGGTGAAATAACACTTTATTATTCCATTCAGGTATAACAGAACTCCATCTTGGAGTTGTACAATAAAGCGGACAGTCGGGCTTGAACTTAAGAGACTAAGAACTAAACTAAACTAATCTTAACTAAAAAAGATATAGCCAAATCTATCAAGATTCTAACGGAGTTGGCCCTTAACGCTTATTGACTGCGAAGCTATCAAGGGCCTTAAGTACCGCCGAGCGTAATAATAGCTTGAGAGAGAGTAGCCGGACGCGTGCTAGCCAGAATATCTGATTCTCTGTTACTAAGATAATAGAACTTCGCGGTTAAAAACCGCTCTTCCTCAATTTGCATTCTCACGTGATTCTAAAACTACGATCTTGCCAGAAGTGGTAAGTTGAAATTAAGAAGCGATGGGAAAGGAAGTTTAACTCAAAATTTAAGTGTTCATAAAATTAACATAATTCTTACAAGTAAATAATAAATAATTTTAAAAAATTTGAATTTAAGCATAAAAAGGAAATAAGATAAATTAATATAAATTTTGAATTTTGTTTGTAATAATAGATAAATATAATAAGCGATTATACAATGCACAATTTCTTCTAATATTTTTTATCCAAGGGTACATATTACATACTAGATAGATAAAAAAAACTGACTCTACACTATAAAGCGTACCCCAAATTTTTAGGGAATCTTAGATTAATTAACTACTAATTTATAACTTCAGCATTTACTTTAATT